ATATCACGGGTGCAACTCCAATAAGCTTAGAAATGCTATAGGTGTTTTCTCCGTGACCATACGAGTATCCCTCATGACTTGCACACGACACCATTGCACAATCAGAAAAAAATAGAAGTGATAATTGACTGGTGATGATAGTGATAACAGAAATGTTTAATATTTACTCCCAACTCTTTCTGTATTCTTCAGAGCATAAGCTCAATCGATACACAGACGAGGTGCTTATGGTTTGTCAACTGGGATACCAACAGCAACATTATCTGCGTCGGGCTGGGTTCCTCTGGCCATCGTCACACCATTGGTATTGATCTGAACAGTAACAGTTTAGATGTAAATTGGAAATTCACCCTAGTGATATGAAAAACACTAGTGAAAAGTATATTTCACTGTGTAGTCGGTCGCGGTAACATACACGTTCTATGATTTACACGGAGTTTTTCACCAACTGGTGAAACTCCATCGAGGAGTTTGCATGTACACTACAATCTTCACGAGAATTGATATTCATACTGATGTTAATTTCATTGTTAAGTTCTCTTATGAAGGAGTTTCACGACCTGTTTTACGTAATACTCTGTGAGAAATGCGATACTCGCGGTGATATGCAGTAGTCGTGAAATATATTTTCACTAGTGTTTTTCATATCACTAGGGTGGTGAAACTCCAATATTACAAATATTATATGCAAATAAATAACCCCATGAACAAGTCAACGAGAAATCTAAACTATTTTCCGAGCTGATAGAATATTAAAGAGAACTCTGAGAGGCCTATGCTAATAAAAATTCAACGGTTTTATTAAACAGAGATTTCAAAACGATAAAAGAAAACTAGCACGAGTCGAACACGTCCGAACGATTAACCTCATTTACACGACGTTGATGATCAAACCTTACCGTATAAGCATAAGTCACTGGTGCTTCCCTAGTGACCAAGATCCCACTACGGAGCCTTACAGTGTACACTAGAGCGATCACGGAGGCCATCTAAATGACCATTGTGATACTAGTATAGGAAAAGGTAGACCTCACCAAAGACAATATGACGACAAGACCGAAGAGAACACCGTAACTCCAGTACGTGGCTGTACTCGTGCTCGCCCAGTAGGTGAAGTTCAAGTAATCTTGCACGTTGTAATCAGCACATGCGTATCTACCAAAACAATGGTGAGAAACACATTTCACTTCGCGAAAAACGCCAATGAATCTCCTGTCAGAAGCTTTCTCGAGATGAAACCTCACCGAGGTGCGGCAACGGCATTGACCACTCTGGAACCGTCGACGTTGCAGTCTTGTATGAACTGGTGACACCCCGTGACGAAACTGTAGACCTAGTGGTGACACCCATGAATCTCGGGCAAGTCTTCAACGCTCACTCTGATGATGTGAATGACGTAGAGTATGAAGAGTAGCAGCGAGAGGATTCCAACTGTGAGCATGGACATAGTACTATTGCGTAGAAACGCGTAGTACAGTATGCACGGCGTCAAGAACGACAACACGTTGAGAATGTACAACCTGTCGAGAAACAAATCACAAGTGAGAAAAGTAATCACCTCTACTTTACCATGAATATACCGGAATAACAACCCATATGCGAACAGCGGCGAATATGGCAATAAGCAGGATCGGGAAGGCAGCAGTGACCAAAGCCAAGGAGACTGGTAGCTGCTTATTGGGATCGGACAACACCAGACCGAATCTGAAAATAGAAATTCCACGTTATATATCAGAGGTTACTTACGGTGCGGTAGGACGCGTTTCAGCTGCTCGAAATGACGACATATCTTCGAGGATGTGCGAACGTTTCACTTGGCGACGCGTGATGTCCTTAGCGCACGCCCTGGTAATCGATATCAACTGCACGCAGAGTCGTAGTAGTAGTATTGACGAAAGCTTTGGAGCCGATTTTTGTGAAGGCCGAGTTACGTTAGTATGCAAACTGAATGAGCGGAGCGAAGTGATTTTTTTTGCATGAAATTGAACTATGAGGGAAAGGTAGTGGGGAGTGAACGTAGGAAGTGCTGTATGGGAAAATGTGGGAAATTTCTGGAAATTTCTGGAAATTTTTTCGAACATTTCTACCCGATTTTCATACTGCATCTATACTTTCGAGCAAACTATCCATTTCTGGCTACTTCTCGTTATTATTTTTTTGCTATTTTTGATGAGTTAATCCCATAGGGCTGTTGCTGTGTTATTTTTATGCGATTCTTACAGTACTGTTTCTGAGAGCTACAGCTCGCGAGGTTCTTCATAAATAGATCGTAAATACGTCCGAGAAAATTCGCTGATGTCGAGTCGAAGGGTGGATAGGTACAGTTTGAAATACACAATTTTAATGGAGTTTCACGACTACCCGTTTTACGCGAAGTGGCGTCGTAAAACTCGGTGAAAACGCGATGATATTCGCGGTGATCTGCAGTAGTCGTGAAATATGTTTTTCATATCACTAGGGTGGTGAAACTGCAAT